GGTCGGCCTATTGCACACCTTGGTTAGGCGCTGTAACGGCGCCTTAGGATGGAAGGCTGCTAAGTGGCAAAATAGCCTTTTGTGCTGGCGCGTATCGACCTTGCACGCGCTTTCGGTCTACTGTGCCACTTGTCCCTAATCAAACAGACGCATTTTCCGGAAATTTTAGCTGATTTTCCCGGTTGCTTCGACTTTTCAAAAAGTTCTCTGATTCCGCTGTTCCACCAACTCATTGTCAGTTGTATGTTACATGGCATGTAGCTTCTATTTCAGAGTATGTCCCTCCGTTGGGAGGAGCTTTTGCAGCACACGACCCTCCTTCTCTCAGAATTTTCTACTTTCATACTCCGTGGCCCAATCTTCTCATCTCCCATCTATTACACGGGGGGGGGAACAACCAAAAAAGAAACTTTTCCCTCCCGACCTTACAAGGTCGATAGCAATTACTTCGTGTTTGTACTTATTGAATTCTGATTGGGCATTTCTACCATCATATTCAAAAACGCATTGCACACTATCATAGAACACCGCCACTGCATTCTGGACGAGCGCCATCGAGAGATTCTGCGAGAGTATCGGTGCCTAGTCCAGCGAGGTCGTGGTTATCAGCCCGCCAGTTTTGTCCACTGTCCTGTTGAGCCCACCAGAACCAATTGAGGAGGTTTACATCACGTGATTGTGCACTTTAATATTGCCTTCTTCTTCAGCTTCTCAAGCTGTGTTCAGGTTCCAAGATAGCGAGGAGAGTTTTTTCCAACGCCCTTCGATTCCATGTGCTGGCGCGCAATCCTGTAGCAGTACGAATTTTCCAAGAAGGTACAGGCAACGACATGGAGGCAGGATATTCTTCACGAGTTGGTCGATGCAACCGTCAGCGCTCACGTTCAGCCCGGGCTCGCGAAGAAAATATCGGTATTCACATTCCAGGAACTTCCTGTCCATACCAAAACCCGCGCCTTGGAGACTGCGGTGAAGATGGATATCCCAATCGCGGAGCGACGTTGTCGAGAGTTGCTCCGGACGGTAGATGGGAGTACGGTCTCCAGGTAGCTATCCATGGGTGACTCCATACTAAGAAGTTTCGCAGCTGTTTGGAGGTGACGTGAATTCCAAAGGTCTTCTCCAGTCAGGCTGCGACTGGAGATGACTTCATATTTTGGTGTACATGAAGGTGATGGGCGAGAGCCTGCTCCTGCTTATCGAGGAACATCTTGGGTATCTTCCGCCCTGGTACTCGTATCCACGTCTTCTATCTGGGCTGCGTAAACTTTACTGATATGTGACTCGGCCAAAGTGTCTTTTTTATTTCTCCCTGTATATCCTATCATTTCCCTAAAAGCTCCACAAAGCCCTTTTCCAGAGAAATTTCACAGTCTTGCCCCAAGAAAGCCACCTCTTCGAACGGGTGGGGAGAGGATAGTGAAATATATGGGTATGGTGCAAGGTAATCGTAATTCGCACGGTGGTGGACGTCGCCTGACGACGCCGCCTTCGCAAACGACGGTGTTCACACTTGTATATGGCGACTTTATGCCCAAAAATAGCTATAAATATAGAGCAAATAAAGAGGTTGAACGCAAATTGGGAAAACGTCGCCCACCACCGCGCGCGTCGGATCGACGAATCACGATTGTCTTAGCCGTCTCGTTGTAGCGCCAGCGCGAATGGCGTGCTCGTGCTAATGCCAAATCAGTTTTGATCTAATACAAAAGGATGCGAGTTCATCTTTCTAAAAAAATTTTTTTGAGATTCTTCCCGATCAAACTCTCAAAGAAGATGGGCGAACCCTCGGCTGCACTCAAGTTGGCAAAACCATGAAACTGATACACTTAGATTAGGAGAGATCAGTATTTGTTCAAGTAATGAAGTGTTTTGTTTTGTATGCTGCGAAAGTCTTCCATTATGTCATCCAATTCATTCAAAAAAGTGGGGACGAGAGGAATGGCAGGAGAGCAAAGGGGCTATGGGTTTCTATATCGTTTGAATGCTCGTATTTTTAACTACGTATCTGAATTTGGCTAGACTGGCCACAGAAAAAGCGAAAAGTTCCCCGATTGGTGAAAATCAGCGGCGAATTACGAGATCGGGCGTCATACAAGGAATGGCACTGCTGGAATTTATGCTAGGCTAGACCAGTAGTTGCAAGTAATGGTGTTCCTTAAAAGGAACGTGGGAGATTCGGTTCAAAAGTCCAAAGAGTTGCGAGCGAAAAAAAAACTAATAACCGATGAGGGCCCCATGATGTTCATCCTGCACAAGAAAACAGGTAGATAGATTCGCAATGTCTGATCACAAAGCAGGTATTAGCCTCCGTGAAACTGACATATTGCTGCAACTGTTTGCTCGAGTTATGACCGAAAAATTTAAGATGGTTTAGGGGGTGCGTGTTTAGGTGCCTCATCACTTTGTAGGAGGAGCACGAACGCAGTACATATTCTATGCCTGTAGGAGCGATGTCCATCGCCTAAGACGTGATTCACGACTAAGGAGAGGCAACGTGCCCCTAGACGAGATATGAGTGGTCTTGTACTCGGAGCCGAAACTCACAGGCGTCAATTTTGTATGACTGCAGATGAGAGGCAGCCTGTGTTCTGTCATCAGGAGTAAGTGGGCCCAAGGTGGCTCTTTCCAGAGAACAAAATCGTCACTGTCGGTGTATATTGCCTGTTCCTCGGCAATCAGATCGACAAATGGATGGTACCACACAACTACAAGAAGACCATCATTGCTCTTCACAGTGCCAGATCCCAGTCACAGCATTATTGTGGCCCTTACCAAGTCCGAGAACGCGTGAAATTGTGCCTTTTTTATCACAACGCGCGAAAATGGGACTGCGGGGTGGCGGTAGCTATCGATGCCATTGAGAGCTCCTCTCACGGAAAGAGTACGCAGACGCACCCACTAGCCACCGATTGCTACCATTTTCTGCGCTTCTCTCTTTCGGAGAGCTGCTTTTTCTTCATTTGGCTGCAATCGACAGTTTGCCATTCATTGTATTTGCTGTGAGATCTCGGCATCGACAAATGCTGCACGTGGATGCTCGTCGGTGGATGCTGGAAGGAGACCCGAACGGCATCCACCTTTCACCGCCTTCACCTCGTTCACGCACACTCCCGAAAGTCAAAAGTGGATAAATAATCGAAACTGAAAGTGGAATATCTCCTCTCAGCAGAAACCCATTGTATTTCAGTGTTGCATTTGTTATCCGGGAATCCTCGTTCTTCGGCTGCAAATAGGGGCTCTCCACGCGAATGCCCATTTTCCTACTGAACATGACTTTCAACAGTATCGTAGCGGCATTTAAAGGCAGTTGGCACGATAATTTGATACTCTGTCTGCAGTGGTAGCGATGCTAAGTGGTGGTAAAATGGCGATGAAGCGAAGTGGAACAGTCAAAACCTGCAAAAAAGCCTTTGTTCTAAGACTCAAGAAGCTATTTCGGACGAGTTCTCCGTTGGCATCGTGCCAATAACCGCTACGGTAGATACGGCTGCATGTATGTACTCATATATCCATGCAGCACCGCAGCCGCTTCATATCAATCCCTTCGCTTCATATTGTTCTTCGCAAATGAAGCGATACGAGCATCAGGTACGGTCGTCCATTTGTGGGCGGGCGGGCGCAGGTGGGCGTCCGGGTCGGTATGTTGCAGCTTGATAGGGCGCTATAAGGGTACATTCCATGGGGAAGATGCCACGCAGAGCTTTCTAGGAAAGCCGAACTCAGTACTGCTAGGCGTATCAGTCCTACACGTCTTTATGAGATTTATCGTGCCATGGCCTTCGAAGGCAAACTGTACTACCTCAGTGGATCCTAATCACTGCGATGCTGGTTAATGGATACGCATCCGCAGTAGCATGCCAGGTTCTCTGCCTACAATGGTCGGGAGCAAGGCTGAATGGTAGTCGTACCCCAGTGTCGGTTCTGTACTCCGCTTCGCGCTGCCGGGCGGCTAG